GGTTTAGCTGCACTCCTAGATAACCTTAATTTGTGAGTAAATTTCCAAATGAAATGTGGCTTTATTTGGTCTTCATAATATTTGCTTTGTTCTTAACCATTTTTAAAAATTAAATCACACGTAACAGTTACACAATTACAGAAAATTAAAATAAAAAATGAAACAATGACAATCAGAGAGTCATCTCCAAGTTTAGAATTTTGACAAAGTGTATATGTTAAAACCATCGCAATCTTAACAACATAATACATATTAACATCTATCACTTGGACTATTAGCCACAATGAAAATGGTATATTGCATCAGCATATGTTAGAACAGTGCCTGTGGTCTGCAGCACAGTTTTGCATGCATGGAACACATATTTTAAACATTATTCCCTCTCCCTTTTCTCCTGCCTTTGCATAAACCCTGGAGACCATAATATCATTTGCTTTGTATTTTCTCTGCATCAGGTCAGTTTTTGCCATAACAAATAATTCACTGTGTAATCTCTTGTGAACCCTGCTTTGTTTTGTTTTTGCACAGTTTTTTCTTTTCTTTTTTCTTTCTTTTTTCTTTTTTTTTTACTTATTTCATGTCATATTTCTTAATAGATCGTTATTTTAATTTCACAATACAGTCTTGAAAAGTTTGAGAAAGAAAATTGCAAATTGATGCAGAAATTTGGCACATTGAATTTAAGATTAGGAAACTAAAAAGTTGAAAATAGCAGGTATTTCCATCCCTAAATGCAAGTAAGCATTTGTTGTCTTTTGTGATTCTAATAAACATTAAGGCTGCTTTCATTATGTGAGGGAATCTTTCCAAAAGGACAAATGAGCAGCAGGCAGGCAAAATCAGGGGGACCCTTTATTAATTTACAGGAGGAACTCTGGTGCTTAAAATGATCTATACCCTGCAAAGCAGATGGAAATAAAGTTACTTATCACGTGTCAGATCAAAATAGTGCAGAAGCAGATTTTAAAACTGACAGTTTAGACTTGGGTGCCACCACCGACTGTTTCTTTCCTTGTACGGGGTTGCTGGGTTAAAAACCCCTCTCGCGGTGAGCTTCTTCACCGATGATTCTATCTGAGCTGACCTTTGCAGAACTAGATAATATTTTATTTACCTTGTTTTGTGCATTTACTGTTAAATGTTAATGAAGGTAAGGGCTTTCAAGGTATGCAAATAAAACATTTTAATTGACTTAAGTGCAACCAAAGCTGCAAATTGGCTACTTTACAGAGAAGAACTTTATTTTTATTTTGTTTTTAAAAGAAACTCTTCCATAATCTGGAACACAGGCTTGCCCTGCACCTGTCCTTCCACTTGTAAAGCTGAAAGTTTGTCACACATAAATAAAGTTTTGGGGACCTCTGCTCTTTCCATGTCTGGCAGAGGATGGGTGGGCAGGGGGGCGCATCCTCGCATGCAGACCACAATCTGGAGCTGCAAAATGCAGGTCAACTGCAAAACCAAGTGATGTGCCTGAAGGATGGGGGTGGGGGGTGGGGGGTGGGGAGCCACCAACTATTTAAGGCTCTCTCTGCCTCCCATCCCCAAGCACATTTTGTCCAGAATCTCCCTTCCCTCCCTTGGTTCAATGCAGAAAGATTTCAGGGTTGCTGGATTTGGGGTCATACAAGAATTCTTCCCTTAAAAGGGGTCACGGCATGGTTGGAAATCTCTTGGGGAAATTATGTAGGACATAGATTGAGGGTTAAATCTGTACATTAAAATTTAAACCTCCTATCCCATGTGTGTTAGAGAAATGCAAAAAGTAAACAGACTATGAAGCATTTTTAGCAAAACACTTATGTATTTTGTGTTTTTAGTAAAACACTTATACGTTTTGCAGCTTACTAAAGTTTAGAAATAAGGCGGTTATATATTTTTTCCCCTTGTATTCCTTTTTAATCCCTTTTTATCTGCTGACCTCCCCCTCTTCAACCCTGTTGCAGAGAATGAACCACATTTTTAGTAAAATAAACAAAACAGGTTTACTTACATTTCAACGCAGACAGAAAATACAGCAAAGCAGCATGCAGAAAAATACTTCTAAGACACAGTAAACTAAAAGTTGGTAGTCTCAGCAGCATGACTGAAACTAGGAGCTTCAGCAAAACATGTCTGCTTAGTTTGGAAGCATGATGGAAGAGTCTCCTCAGAGACAGAAGGAAGTATACAAGACTATCTCATTTGTTCCAGAATACCTGCTTTGAGGAATCTGGGGAAGTGACCAGACAAGAAAGGAGGAGGAGTGGCGTTATATGTCAGGGATGTGTATACCTGTGAAGAGATCCAAGATTTAGAACCTCAAAGCCAAAGTGAGAGCATTTGGGTCAAAATTAAGGGAGAGAAGAATAACAGTGACCTCATTGTGGGAGTTTACTATAGATCCCCAAGCCAAACGGAGGACATAGATGATGCCTTCCTGGAACAGATGGCCAAGCATGCAAAAGGAAGGGAGATAGTAGTAATGGGGGACTTCAATTACCTGGATATTTGTTGGATGTCAAACTCAGCCAAGAGCATAAGGTCAAACAGATTCCTCATTGGCCTTGCAGACAACTTCATTGTCCAGAAAGTGGGAGAAGCAACAAGAGGAACAGCCATTTTAGATCTGGTCCTAACCAATGTTGATGACCTGGTTAGTGGGGTAGAAGTGGAAGGATCATTAGGCGCGAGTGAGCATGCTCTTCTGAAGTTTACTATACAGCGGAAAGGAGCAGCCAAGCATACTAGGACTCAATTTCTTGACTTTAAGAAAGCCGACTTCATAAAACTTAGGGAAGTGCTGGGTGAGATCCCATGGACAGTAATACTAAAAGGAAAGGGAGTTCATGATGGCTGGGAGTTTGTTAAGAGGGAGATACTAAAAGCACAACGTCAGGCAATACCAATGAGACGGAAACATGGAAGGTGCCTAAAGAAGCCAGGGTGGCTATCTAAAGAACTTTTAACTGAGTTAAGATTGAAAAAGGATGTGTACCAAAAATGGAAAAGGGGGGAAACCACCAAGGAGGAATTCAAACAAATAGCCAGCACGTGTAGACACAAAGTCAGAAAAGCTAAAGCACAGAATGAACTCAGGCTTGCTAGAGAGGTTAAAAGCAACAAAAAAGGTTTTTATGGGTATGTTCAATGCCTTCTTTGCCTCAGTCTTCTTCGATAAAGAAAACAATGCCCGACCTGAAGAATTTGGAGCAAATGATTCAGCAGAGGAAACACAGACCAGAATAACTAAGGAGATAGTACAAGAATACTTGGCTAGTTTAGATGTATTCAAATCTCCAGGGCCAGATGAACTGCATCCAAGAGTATTAAAAGAACTGGCAGATGTGATCTCAGAACCACTGGCACTCATCTTTGAGAATTCCTGGAGAACAGGCGAAGTCCCGGCAGACTGGAGGAGGGCAAATGCTGTCCCTATTTTCAAAAAGGGGAAAAGAGAGGACCCAAATAATTACCACCCAGTCAGTCTGGCATCAATACCAGGGAAGATTCTGGAGCAGATCATTAAGCAAACAGTCTGTGAGCACCTAGAAAGGAATGCTGTGATCACCAATAGTCAGCATGGATTTCTGAAAAATAAGTCATGTCAGACTAACCTGATCTCGTTTTTGACAGAATTACAAGCCTGGTAGATGAAGGGAACGCAGTGGATGTAGCCTACCTTGATTTCAGCAAGGCATTTGACAAGATGCCCCATGATATTCTTGTAAAGAAGCTGGTAAAATGCGGTCTTGACTATGCTACCACTCAGTGGATTTGTAACTGGCTGACTGACCGAACCCAAAGGGTGCTCATCAATGGTTCCTCTTCATCCTGGAGAAGAGTGACTAGTGGGGTGCCACAGGGTTCTGTCTTGGGCCCGGTCTTATTCAACATCTTTATCAACGACTTGGATGATGGACTCAAGGGCATCCTGATCAAATTTGCAGATGACACCAAATTGGGAGGGGTGGCTAACACCCCAGAGGACAGGATCACACTTCAAAACGCCCTTGACAGATTAGAGAACTGGGCCAAAACAAACAAGATGAATTTTAACAGGGAGAAATGTAAAGTATTGCACTTGGGGAAAAAAATGAGAGGCACAAATACAAGATGGGTGACACCTGGCTTGAGAGCAGTACATGTGAAAAGGATCTAGGAGTCTTGGTTGACCACAAACTTGACATGAGCCAACAGTGTGACGCGGCAGCTAACAAAGCCAATGCAATTCTGGGCTGCATCAATTGGAGTATAGCATCTAGATCAAGGGAAGTAATAGTGCCACTGTATTCTACGCTGGTCAGACCTCACCTGGAGTACTGTGTCCAGTTCTGGGCACCACAGTTCAAGAAGGACACTGACAAACTGGAACGTGTCCAGAGGAGGGCAACCAAAATGGTCAAAGGCCTGGAAACGATGCCTTATGAGGAACGGCTAAGGGAGCTGGGCATGTTTAGCCTGGAGAAGAGGAGGTTAAGGGGTGATATGATAGCCATGTTCAAATATATAAAAGGATGTCACATAGAGGAGGGAGAAAGGTTGTTTTCTGCTGCTCCAGAGAAGCGGACACGGAGCAATGGATCCAAACTACAAGAAAGAAGATTCCACCTAAACATTAGGAAGAACTTCCTGACAGTAAGAGCTGTTTGACAGTGGAATTTGCTGCCAAGGAGTGTGGTGGAGTCTCCTTCTTTGGAGGTCTTTAAGCAGAGGCTTGACAACCATATGTCAGGAGTGCTCTGATGGTGTTTCCTGCTTGGCAGGGGGTTGGACTCGATGGCCCTTGTGGTCTCTTCCAACTCTAGGATTCTATGATTCTATGTGACCAAACAGAAGGTCCTCTCTAAGAGGTTCAAGAACTCTGTATTGTGCTTGTCTAGCAAAACATGCAAACCCCACAGGGAATAGTAAGCGGCCTTATACAGAGTCTGATCATTAGTCCATATAGCTCAGTATTGTCCACACTGACTGGCAGCAGCTCTCCAAGATGTTAAAAAGGACTATCTCCCAGCCCTGCCAGGAGATGCCGGGATTGAACCTGGGGACTTCAGGATGCAAAGCAGGTGCTCTACCATTGAGCTACCCAAAAGGACATATGGAGGAGCTCATAGAAAGCTGCTTTGTATTGAGTCAGACTGTTGGTCCATCTAGCTCAGTATCACCTGCACTGACTGGTTGCGGCTCTCCAGGCTTTCAGTCAGGAAACATTCCCAGCCCTGTCTGGAGATGCCAGCCATTGAACCTGGGACCTCCTGCACGCAAGATTCCTTTTCTTGTAAGTGCTATGTGTATTTTTGTATTTTACTGTTGCTACGATAATTGCTTTTGTTTCTGATATTTTTGATCTGTTTTATATTTGTTTTATGGTTCTCTTTTGCAGGCTATCTTGACGACAACAACAACAATGACAACATAAGTGCTATGTGTCTTATACATCTGGAAGTTACTTTGAAACTTGAATGTGTGGAAATAGACAAATAACTGATGGTGAGGATGAGGATGCTTTCTGTACAAACCTGGGTCAAAGGAGGTACAGTGGTACCTTGGGTTACAGACGCTTCAGGTTACAGACTCTTCTAACCCAGAAATAGTACCTCAGGTTAAGAACTTTACCTCAGCTTGAGAACAGAAATCGCGTGGCGGCAGCACAGCGGCGGCAGGAGGCCACATTAGCTAAAGTGGTACCTCAGGTTAAGAACAGTTTCAGGTTAAGAACGGCCCTCCAGAACGAATTAAGTTCTTAAGCTGAGGTACCACTGTATTCTGAAATATCTAAGGCATGAAGAGAATGCTCCAGTGCTTCCAGTTTAGTAATAGGAATCTGCACTGGTGGAAGCGAAGTTAGGCATTAGCACCTGAGCCCTTTGCAGATCTTTGAAAGTTGTAATCAGTAAGATTATAGCTCAGGAGTAGAGCACATGCTTTAGAAAAGGGATGCTCAGATTCTGGAGAGTTGCTGCCAGTCAAGGGTGAACATGGCATGTTTTGGGATGAGAATAGATGCTAGGAGAGGATATGTTTAGATATTAAGCTTTCTTCCTTACTTTTGTGAGTTCAGCAGAGTGCCATTCCTTTGCAACTTAATGGAAAGCTTTGATAGGCTAGTTTTAGTTTTTTAGTTTAAGTAATCCAGGATGCTTTAAAGCAGACTCACTCAGAAAACTTGTTGAAGTATAGCAGATACAGGAGCTTTGCTCAGGCAGACTTAAAATGGTAATTCAGTTATAAAGACATACTTAAGTCTAGCTTAAAATGGTGTCTGAGCTTGGAGTGCAGACAAGGCAGATGCTCTCACATTGCTGGCAGAGCGGAAAGAGGTGAAAAGGGGGTGTGCCCAGGCAGGTAGGTGAATATATAGCTATGCCCTCTCCTTGTCAGGGCACAGTGGGAGTGTCTCTCACAGAGTTCTCTCTAGCAAGTTTACAGGAAAACTCTGTGAGCTTCAGTTCCTATCATGTGCCTATCTAGCAAAGCATGAATTGTTGGATTGACTGCACTTTGACTATCCCACAACATGTGCTCAGTCATGGCCTGGTGCCCTCCAGATATTTATCTGCAAAAAATCCTATACTGCCTACATTAAAGAAGTCAGTGGTCATCATAAAAGCAACAATAAAGTTGGGCAGATGAGCACATTGACGCTGTTGAACCCTCAGGGACTGCGTTAACAGGTAGCTTTTAAGCAGGTGCCTAAATGCTCATCCTGTAGATGTCTGCATCACCTCCAATACTGCAGGTGCTACAACTCACATCATATGAAACTGCCTTATACCAAGCCAGACCAATGATCCACCTAGCTCTGTATGGTCCACACTGACTCGCAGCAGCTCTCCAGAGTTCCATGGAGGAAGTTTCTCCCAGCCCTCCCTGGATATTGAATCTGGGACCTTCTGCATGCAAAGCAGATGCACTTTCCTGATCAGCCCCAGTCAACAAAGCCAATGCTCAAGGGGACTGGGAGAGGAATTCCAGAGAGGAGCCAAAGGGCTATCAGTTTGTCATTCCCTCAGTGGCGTCATTCAACATTAAATGTGCAATCCTATCCGCTCCTATGCAGGAACAGGTTCCAGTGAGTCCATTGGGGCTTACTCCCCAATGTGCATATAGAATTGCAGCCTATGTTGAATGAAAATTCTCAGAGGATAATTTTCTGAGAAAAACTGTTGGGCAATTTCAAAGCAACCTTCCCCCCCGCCCCCGACAAGAAGATTTCGCAACAACCCCCCCCCCCAATAAAACCCAAATAGTACAGAGATCATTGCCAACTTAATCATGCAACACAGAAGCAAGTCTGCAAATAAGCTCAAGTCTACATAATTTATGCTTGGACTGTCTTAGTGCAGAATCCCACCCCACCAAGTACAAATCATATGCAGTCAGCATTTGAAACTTCAACTGTTCTAGGCGTGTTTTGCAACAGGGAATTTCATTAATGCGAGCAGTTTCTGAGCTCTGGGTGCAGTATTGAACTTAAGATTTCAGATTAAAACCACCACTGCTGGAAGAAAAGGAGGACCTTTTTCTGCCTCGCCATTTCCAGCCTCTCTCTGAGGACTGGAGAAGGGACCCTCATAAGAATATTAGGGGGACGGGCAGAAGAAGTGTGGCTTTATTTTTTTTGCAGTCTTCAGATGAGGACTAGATAAGGTAAAGGGACCCCTGACCATTAGGTCCAGTCGTGACCAACTCTGGGGTTGCGGCGCTCATCTCGTTTTATTGGCTGAGGGAGCTGGCGTACAGCTTCCGGGTCATGTGGCCAGCAGGACTAAGCCGCTTCTGGCGAACCAGAGCAGCGCATGGAAACGTCATTTACCTTCCCGCCAGAGCGGTACCTATTTATCTACTTGCACTTTGACGTGCTTTCAAACTGCTAGGTTGGCAGGAGCAGGGACAGAGCAATGGGAGCTCACCCCGTTGCGGGGATTCGAACCGCCGACCTTCTGATCAGCAAGTCCTAGGCTCTGTGGTTTAACCCACAACGCCACCTGCGTCCCTTCAGATGAGGATTAGACTATGTAAAAAATGAACATAAGTTTTTAGCTGCAGTTCATTCATTTTCAGCTTTGTATCCTTGTTATAAAAAGCACACCTAGACACTCCATTGTGGCGCCATAACATAGGTTTAAGGTGCCATTTAGCTCCTAGCTCTCATATCTCAGTTTCTAACACTGTATGCAGCCCTGCCAATCTCTCTCAAAATGAAAATCTGTCAAAATGACTCTCTCTCATTCTTCATTGACTTCCTCTGTTTTTCCAGTCCCCCATCCAATGCCCCCACTTCTCTCATATTTTAGCTACTTGGCAGTATAATAGCTATTCTGAGGAAATAATATGAAAGATTTCCCCACTAAGCCTCTGTAAATGTAAGCCTAAGCCCCCAAAGCCCCTATTGATTTAAGCTGGTCAGGCTTAAATTGATGATAGTTGATCACATTTCCTAAACCCTGTAGTGCATACTTGACCTAAAAGAATTTTTTTTAAAGGGGTGGGGGAGAGACCTTGGGGAGGGTGTGGAGGGGGAGAAATTATAACACCCTTAATTTTATTATTGGCTTTCCTTTGCTCCCATCTGATTCCTGCTGTGTATTCCTTTGTCCCCCCCCCCCCAATCTCTCTTGCACACAGAGCAAACCAGCACCCCTCCCCAAGGTCCCCCCCAAAACACAAACCCACCACCCACTGGAGGCAGATTTCTTGCAGTGAAGTCTCCCATCCATCCTCTTGTACGACTCAGTGAGCTGATGAGCCGGGGTCGAGGTGAGTTTCTTTAAAAGAAAAAGATAAAGGCCTCCCCTCCTTGTTTCCTTCTCTACCAGGTGAAAATCTGTCAGTTTGCATCTGCCTTGCTATTTTTGAAGCTCAGAACATTTGGAAATGGCTGGGTGGGGGACAGACTGTGTGCTCTTAATTATTGTGGTTTTGGTGTGATGACCCACCTACCAGCTTCAGGGAATTGGATGGGCCACGTTGTCTGCTGATTCCAGGCTTCCCTTTGCGTCTCCCTTTGCCAGGTTCTCATTATCCCAATCCACAACAAACAACAAAAGGAAGAAGAAGAAAAATCTTCCTTCCAGCCCTTGTCATCTTCTGGCCTAACCAGATGGCAAACAAGAATAACAGCAGCAAGAAAAGTGGGGGTGGGGGAGAGAGAAAAGGAGAAAAGGCAAAATCCTGCTTGTTTTTGCTTAATAAAATGTTGATAAAATATGCTGCCGCTCAGAAAGTGTATAACCAAATGTACTCATATGCTAATCTTTTAGTCTTGCAACTTCAACCTGCAGAGAAACAGAAGGACTAGCTGCTCATCTTGTGTGCTCATGTGCTTCAGTGGGGGCTGCTCACCTAGCTGGGGGGGTGTCAGGAAGGGGCTTTGATGAGGTCCATCCAGATGATGCTCTGAGTCCCTTCCAGTTCTTTGGATCCTGTATCTGTGCAGGGCCAGTCCAATACATTTTGGCACCTGAGGCAAAACACAAAGTGGTGCCCCTTCCCCACCCTCACCAGCAAAGAAGAGGTGAGTGAAGAGGTACACTGGGAAGAAGGGGGGCAGGATAAAGAGCTACATCAGGAAGAAGGGAACGAGGCGGGAATCAAAGCAAGCTTACCTGACAGTTGAAGCAACCCATCAGCCCCTGCCAGGGCCTGGGCAGAGAGACTGAAGCCGGGAGGAACAGTGGCTCCGGTGCCCTGCAGCCCCCATTACGCCCTGCAACCCCTGTGCCACCCAGTGCGGCTCCCCTCTCCCTGCCTTCCTGTGCCCCTGGCTCTCATTCATGCCTGGTGGGTGCAGAGCTAGGAGAGCCAGAGGGCAGCCCCCATCCTTTCCTACTTAGGGGTGGGAGGAGACCAGCAGGGCCTCCTACTCACCGAGAGTCCTTTGTTAGAGGCAGCGGTGGGTTTAAGGCAGTGCCAGCAGTTCCCTTGCACAGGGTGCCCAGCCAAATAGGCACAAAATTTTAATAATAAAAATAATAAACCTATATTTATATGGTTATCTATTAAGAAGATCTTTTTAAAAGCAACTGTACCCAATGGAATTACTGTGAAGATAATCAATATTTCAGGGAGAACCCCCAGTTTGTTCCTTGCTCAGGGTGCCATATTACCAAAGTCTGCCCTTGATAGAGGCGATATTGTACAGGTGTGGCTGATGGTCTCTCCCCACCCCTAGGGGGTGGGAGGAATTAAGCAGCATCTCCTATTCACCAAGAAGCTGTTATGGAAGCAGCATGGTGGGAGCTGAGGGGGAGGTGGCAGGTCCAGTCTCCAAAGGGTACACCACAGCCACTGCTGCCATGGTGGCAACAGCAGCGGGTGATGCATTCCTTGCAGGCCGGATCTGCTGCCCCTGTGGATCTTGCTGCCTGAGGCAATCACCTCACATTGCCACATGGGTGGACCAGCCTTCTATGGGGGTAGAATGTATGGAGCAGGCTTGCCAAATGAGTTTGCCCAGCTATTTAAGCACCATGTTTGACACACTTTTGACACATGTTGCTCTGCACTATAGAACCAATGGGTGGGCCTTTCCCCCCTCAGCTGTCTGCTAGGGAGGAGAACAATAGCCAGTGTAATGTGGGTGAGTATTGTGAGCTGGAAACAGACTGGAAGCTGGAGACACAGAGACATGCTTGCTCTGTGTTGGATCCAAAGCTATAACTTTTGGGGTGTTAATGCTAAAAGCCTCTCCATTTTAGTCTCAGGTTGTATATATTTGCAGGTACAACCATATATTCTAAAGGCACCACAGTCTCTACTGACCTTCATTCCAAGGAAACTGAACCTTGGGTAAGCACTGGAATCCCTAAAATCTCTCACCATTCAGAGACTGGGGCGGTGTGTAACAAATAAATCCAATATAGGTGCTAACCCAGCCTTCCCCATCCTAGTGCCCTCCTGATGTTTTGGCTCCAGCTCCCATCAGCCCCAAACAGCATAGCCAGTGGTCAGGGATGATGAGAACTATGCCAGGTTGGAGAAGGATGGGCTAGCTAGTCTTTTGGAAATAAGTTGAAGAACAAGCTTGCGAAGCTCATGTGCTTGTGCATTTCTACCTGTGTCTGCTGGCGTCTCCAGGTCATTGACTGAGCAAAGTGGGGCCTTTGGTTTTAAGTTGCCTCTTTGACATTTTCTGCTTGTGAATATGACAGGCTTGTTTGCAATGCAATCCCTTGTGTCTCCCCTAATTGTGGCGAGACAAGTCAATGTGCATGTTCAGGATGCAACTATCCATTTCAGGAGCCCCCTACCTGTGTGTAATGCATGAATGTGTAATCTTGAAGTGCAGTCCTGAATGTGCTTGCCAACTTTTGTTCCAATATCACCCTGCTTAAGACAGATTGCAATAACATTTTCATTTTTAATACAGTAAAATGTTTAGACAACCACCCCTATGGAAAACAGAACTGGGAGTACTTCTGCTGTTGTGCTGTGGGTGGTGCTCTTTTGGCCACAGAAGGATCCATGCTCATAGAATAAATTCACCATTAGTGTACAGAGTGACCTACCAGAGGTGAGGAAAGTGCAGGCAAAACAGGCTACATCTAACTTTTCTAGAGCTCTCATTTCCCCCCCAGTAGTAACTTCTCCTGTAAGCTTTTGGTGGGGGTGGGGGTGGGGGGAGCCTTGTCTTTCTGATTTACGCCAGGTATGGAGCAAGTGGTTCAGACACAGAGAGGACTGCCCAGCCAAACACCCATGTGTGCATGAAATTAGAATGTCAACATTTGATTCATGCAGCCAGCCAGTGACTGTGAAACAAATTATGTCAGTGGGTGGCAATTGCAATATTAGTCTAAGCAGATAACATTTAGCTAAAAGGAGGGGCTCAGCCTGCACTAGTTCTCCCTACCATTTTAATATGTCAACATCATTAGATCCAGGAGGCTGGGAAGTTTTGTCAGAATGAATGAAATACTGAGCCGCAGAAAGAACTTATCAGCTGACAGCAAGTGATTAGATACTAGGTAGGAAAGGTAGCTAGCTACAAAATCCAAAACTGCATTTCCCGATATAAGGTATTTAAATGCTTACATGCTTTCCAAATACTAAAGCACTGAGAAAGTTCTTCTCAGAATAAAACTTTAACTAAATGAGGACTTTTTAAGGGAATTTTTGGAACACATTTAACTTTTAATTGCATTGCCTTTTCTGAAGAGAAAAAGAGAGCATGTCTTAGGGAAACAGAAGTCCAATTTACTAATTAATCTTTTATAAAGAAAACCTAAGAAATGTTTGGCTCAAGCTATGAAGCTTTCAAGGAGTGGATGGGGGGGGGATCCCTGGGTTTGGCTTTGCTTCAATTAAAAGAGCTACAAATTTGCCTTTGGAAGAGAAGAGAGACTGGATAAAAGAGCTCACTCAAGTTTCTATGCAGATACTCCTGGCATTTGAAAGCCAAGATCACTTCGCTCCCTGGAGATCCCTGATGATGTTTTTTGGAAATGTGTTTCCAGCAAATCAACTACATTTCTGAATCCAGGAGGCTTCAGCTCAAATAGTTTCAGAATACAGCAGGCCACTAATATTTCCATTCTGCAAGAGAAAAACAATACAAGAAAAATTTGTTGCTGCAAAGTGCCAAGATAATACAAATTATCTCCCACACCCTCTGCCCAATTTTTTGTTACTATTTTTATTTTTGCTCAGTCTTAAGCAATGGATTATTTTCCAGTGAAATGTAAGAGGCATTCTCTAAACTTTGCCAGACATTCCCACTTTAACTACCCTCAGAGTAGTCAATACATTTTTAATTTTTTACAAATCAAAAATTCAATTGTTAAGATTTAACTACAGTATTTGGAGATGCAAACATTTGTTTTTAGCCTCTGAATTCAGAAATCATTGCCTGATGCATGGCAAGTATTAGAATAGTATTTGGGAAAAGGGTGGTGAGACAGGGTTCATTATTTTATAGTTAAGTCAACACGAAAGCTTGTTTAAATTTCCAGGGCATTTTAACCAGTACTTAGTTAAGGAATTTGCACATTTACTTGGTTTCTTTGCAAAGAAGCTACATAATCTAAGTGCTGGTACATCTTCCCCTCCTCTGCCTTGTACAAATCCATAGCCACATCCCATTGTTTATCCACATAATGGCATTTGTATCGATTTTGTACTGATGAGAAACAATGTAAGGTTTGCCACTGGTCAAATTCTAATCACTTATTCTCTCTTTGGAATGCCCATTGAAATAAATGGGCCAAATTAATCCCTGGTGTAACTCCATTGATTCGCACTCCTAACTCCATGCATTTGATGCAATGGAACCCATTCATTCAGACAGGATAGGACCAGGTTTCAATGGCAGCCTTAATATAAAATGCAAGTCATTTAAGGAAAGGCTGATTCAAAGTGACTTGGGGGGGGGGACGCAGTGTAATGAAACGTTTACACGGTGCGTGACCTCGTCCCTATTTTGCAATCCAAACATGCTTTACGTCGGCCTGTTGATGTAAGGAGCCCCTGGCACAAAGCCCATTTTTAAAGTGTCATTGAAGGCTGTGGTGCAATAGGGGTCACTACCTTACTCACATGAGTCGCCCCATTGAAAGTCAGTGGGACGATTTGCATTGAAAGCTACGCCCAGAATTTTTACATTTATCTAAAATGAGCAATGTTAATCGGAAATATGTGGTTTAAATTTCCCTGTGAGTTGGGAATGCATCCTTCTATGTGTAAAATATTGCATGACTGAACAAATTGCAGGATTTCATCTTTATTTGGGGGCACATGTTTATTGAGTCCTTCATTTAATAGAGAACTGGGGGTTAGAGAGAAGAAAGGTAAAGAAAAGAATTTGTTTCTAATTCAGTTTCAAAATCTCTAACAATTTGCATACACATGAGAATTTTAAAAATATGAAGTTTATCAAATGTAAGTTTGAATATTTAATTTTCTAATGAAATAACAAGAGACAAAAACACCAGACAGAAAATCTGGGTGAGATTTTACTACCATCTGACAACTTTTTAACCAAGCCAAGTATTCCCTGTTGAAATGCATGCAAACTGATCTTTTCTCCAATATTTTAATGAGTTTCCTTACAAAATGCCGTAAGTATGAATGCTCCCCCCTTTCCGTAAGTAATTAATGACAACATAGCTAACGAAGACAAAAGTCCTGAAAACGCCAAGACAGCAAGGAGGGGGCTGGACCCCTATGATCTTCACAGAGCAATGAGGGTCTTGTAACTTCTCCATTCTGATGGGGACCATGGAATCAAGACTGCATTATCATCTGTGGTTAACTGTCAAAGGCATTTTAATGCTTTATCAAGGAGAGTTAAGTTAAGAAAGAAAGAAAGAAAGAGAAGGGGGGAAACCCACAGTGGTCAGATCTTCTTAATCTATCTACCTTCGAGAGCTGAAACTTGTGTGTTTGAGTGCTGGGAGTTAACTGTATCTTTTCAGCAGGATGCAAATTCCCAGAGATCAGAGAGCTTGAGTAAACAATATTTTGATGTAAACAGATTATCAACATGAGAGGAATGACCGTCTAGTCACCCATGGGGGTTTATCCACCTAACACTTCCACCCCATAAAGACAATTGTGTGCAATCAATGCGTATAGGGCCTTTCACAGGGTTGCTAAGGAACCCCCAGTGTCAACAGAAAAATGCACCACAACTTACAGAGGGCTTCACCGAATGGATGAACGGGAAACAATGTACACTGGCTCAGTTTTAAGCTTAATTCAGTTGGTTATGAAGATGGCAACAGGCACCAGGGTTGATCAGGGGGAAGGAGCGAAAAAAGGCAAATTGCGTGTCTAAAACAAGTGTGACTTTAGAGAGGGGGCGCTTCTGTTTGTGCAACAAGTAGAACTTCATATGCTAAGTGAAGCCTCAGAGAGAAAAGAAGCCAGCTCAGCCGGGAATTTCATTTAAGAGCAGTACTCACTTCATGGGAAAGACTGGAATCCTCAGTCAGAGGAAGAAGGAAGAGTGAAAGTGTTGCAAACATGTGCCTTAATCTAACTAGCAAATCATTTGCCTAAGATGCAAAGACAAATGCTTCACTTCTGTGCAGAAACCTAAGGTGCAGGTTATTGCTGTCACTTTTTAACAGAGATTCAGGGGTTTCTTCTCAAATTCTAAAAAGAGGAAAGAAATTTGAATGATATCGTGCTTGCCTCTCAGCCCACCACTCAAACGCAAGGCTGAAAATTATTTTTTTGTTTTATTTGTTTTGAGCATTTGTGCTTCATTCTTTAGCCAAAAAGGCTTCCAGAATGGCTTACATACAATCAGTTAAAGTGAGACAGTCCTTGACTGCAGGCTAATGATCTTTAAAATAATTTTTAAAAAGACACGCAAGGGAAAAGGGGAAAGGAGGGAAGAGGAAAAAACAAAAACAACTCAGGCACCAATTCTTAAACAGTTGTTCTTACAGTGACCAGCAGCCTCAGTTCAGGGTAGGTGGTGCCTGGTGTATCTGGTCTTTCAGTAAAGTTAATGGAATGAGCTCTGCTTCCATTTTCATGTGTCGTTCCTGAAAGAGACACTCTCATCCTGGGTGACCTTTATTTCTCTCCTGTCTTCCATCCAGATACGCTATTTGATGCAGGAAATCATAAGAACCTCTTAGATCAGAAATGGGGAACCTCAGACTAGAAGGCAAAGTGGGAGGCTCCTCAGGCCTCTCTATGTAGCCCTTGAGACTCTTCCAGCTCCCCACCACTCACTGGTTTGGCTTCAGACCCTCACTGAATGCTTTTGCCTGGCTGGAATGTGTTCTTGAACACACACTCTCTGAAAAATGCCCTAAACCTAGCAGATGGTGTTTCTGTACAGTGAAAACAGAAGCAACTACGTATAAGTTATAATTTGATTTGATTTGATGAATCCTGTGCATGGACCCTAATGAAGTTAGAAATGTGGCAATCAAAACTGAGGAATGCATTGCATGTCTGAACTGGCAATTGACTGGCAAATGGCTGCCATCCATCTGTCTCAGGAGACAATGGAAGCATGTGCCTTCACAGGTGATTTTATTGTGCGAAGCGCCCTGAGACCTGTGGCATAATATATAATATATAATATATAATAATAATAACACTACTACTACTACTACTACTACTACTACTACTAAACAACCTCTGGAGAGTTGCAGCACCTGCTGTGGCTGTAGAGAATAATACAGGAGAGACTCAGTAAAAACACCTACTTATATTTTACTGTGTGCAGTTTTGATTGCCTCACCTCAAGAATGATATTGTGAGTTGGAAAAGGTTTAGAAAAGGGCAACCAAAATGGTCAGTGGGAATGAAGCGACTGCTCTATGAGGAAAAGTTGCAGCATTTGGGATTTTTTTAGTTTAGAGAATGTGTCAGTTTCAAGCATGACTTATGAGGTAAGACTCTAGCTAAGACTAAAGGCTCTAGCTAAGACTAAAGCACTGTTTTAAGAAGAGAATGATATACAAATAGAAGATAAAGAAACTGAGCAAGTTGAAGAATATGTCTTATTTAGGACAAAAAATTATACAGGGAAGAGAAAACCAAATAGCGGAAATAAATCATGGGTGACCTTTGTAAAACTCAGCTTCATAATGAAAAGTAAAAAATAGAAGCCCATTGAACCAGACTCCCCCTAAGAAGGCCCCCTGTAAGCATCAACACCCCCTACCAGCCAGATTCTCAAAAGATACTGGAGACTTCAACACCAGCTGCTCATTGCCAGCTTACTACGGAAAGCAATGCACTATGCAGAAGTTAACAGGCAGATAGATTGCAGGCTGCCCCCTCCAGCAGTAGCGCAGGAAGGCGGGGTGGGTGGGTGGGTGGTGCACCAGGTGTCACAGGAGGCCGAAGGGCGCTGGAGCCACTGTCTGTGCCTCAATAAACCCGCCAAGCAAGTTTTGGCAGTGCCCCCCCCAACTCAACAACTTTGGGCAAGCTCTTAAAAAAAGCTCTGCCCCAGGTACTGGCCGGGGTTGCTACAGCTCTGCCCTCCAAGATCCCCCCTTCCTCAGGAAAGGAGTGAAGTCAGGGAAAGATAGTAAGGCTCCTTTCCTGAGATAGTCTAAGAACTCCTTGGAACAAGTTGTCTGCTCCCTGGGAACTGTTCAAGGTTCTGAAGGTCCTGGCTCAGATCACATTTTGCATATGGCCCCTGGTTCCTGATCTTGAAGTAGCCTGCCTGTTTATTGGCTATCCTTGTAGGATCCTTCTCACTGGAACCAGACACAGGGTGGAGGAAGAATAACCTTTTGGGTGGAGATTGTTTAATAAGATGAGCCCTTATGGATCAGCCTGATGGTCCATCTAGACCAGACTTCCACAGCCTGGTTGTCTCAAGATGTTTTTGTCTACAGTTTCCATCATTCTGGACTATTAGCCATGCTAGCTAGGACTGATGGGATTTGTAGTCCAAAATGTATGCACCAGCACCCTGCTTCCCCTCCTGGCCAATCAGATGCCTCCAGGTTGTCCACAAGCAGGGCATGAAAGCAGCAGACCTCTGATATAGAGCTTAAGCCATTTAAGAAACCAGCTCACAAAGCTCATCTGATTCTTGCTAATTTTCATTCCTGCTGTCTGATAATACCAAACACTGGCTTGAAAATGCATCCTCTTGTTCTTTGTATAAATGCCTGGCTTGCAGGACCTCTCCTTACTTTCATGTAAAGTGCAGCATTCAGGCTTCGAGATGGTAAACAAAAAGAGTCAAGTGATGGATTCAATTAGAGCTGAGGCAGCTTCCCATCCATTTGTCTTCCCTTTGTCCTCAATCTTGATTTGCCCTGTAGGTTAGTCTTATCATAAAGACAGTATGAATGACTCTCTCCGCGCCTTTTCTCATTAATGCAGCAGAAAATTGATGAGTGGCGCTCTTGAACTGTGAGAGTTTTTGGCAAGAATTATAGTCCCTATTTATTTAGGAGAGACCCGTGTGGCATTCTAAGTAAATATAATGTACAAACTCTCCCCCAAAATAAACACCACAAGTAATTGCCTGGTGCAAGGTTGACATTTTGGTTTTGTGATTTGCTCAGATATTTAAAAATTAAATTTTCTTCCTGGGATGATGGCATTGCAAAAAGCGTTGAGAAAATTAGAACCGGTGGTTTGCTTAGAAAGTGAGTAATAGGGAGCATTACAACACATCAATATTTATTCTGTGGTTTCTCAAATCTAGATTTTTGAATGCTGAACAAAATATGATGTTGGTTTGCTGATGGTATGAACATAATGATGGTGTGGGTTTCTAGGCCCGCCCACCCTCTTCTGAAAGGATCTCCCAAAAAGCACTGAGTAATGCTAGCCCTTTAAGAACACAGCCTGCTCCATTAGGAGGGGACTCCAAGATCTCTCCTGGCTCATCTGTCAGAGACTCCAAATCTATGTGCGTAGAGCCTCAAGGTGGGGGGGGGGGCGCTCATCCATGCATTACCATATTTTTCGCTCTATAAGACGCACCAGACCACAAGACGCAGCTAGTTTTTGGAGGAGGAAAACAAGAAAAAAAAAATTCTGAATCTCAGAAGCCAGAACAGAAAGAGGGATCGCTGCACAGTGAAAGCAACAATCCCTCTTGCTGTTCTGGCTTCTGGGATCGCTGCACAGCCTGCATTCGCTCCATAAGACGCACATACATTTCCCCTTACTTTTTAGGAGGGAAAAAGTGAGTCTTATAGAGCAAAAAATACGGTATTTTCCGCCCCTGTATCCTTATTCCAAGTCTTTTTGAGTATTGTTTTAATGGAAAAGCCAGATATCAAATACATGGAAACATTTTTCAAACGGTTCTGGAAAACTGTCCGTTTGTTTAATTATAGGCCACATTTCAGGGTTACCCCTTGCAAGGCTGTTTGCTGTCTTTCCATTGTGGCATCTGGTTGGCAGCTGTGAGAACACTGTGCATGGCTAGGTGGGCCTTTCTTTGGCCTGATCTTATGTTTATGGCCTTATGTTTATGTTCAAAAATTCAAAATATTCCAACCATAAAGATCACAGGAAGCTGCCTTACACAGAGTCAGGCCATTGCTCCATCTAGCATAGGCTACAGTGACGGGCAGTAGCTCTCCTGGGTTTCAGACCGGCTGGGGTTATTTCCTGGAGGTGCCAGAGATGGAACCTGGGACCTTTTGAAAGCAAGGCAGATGCTCTACCCCTGAGCTGTGGCTCTAAAATATTGCAAGCCCCACCTGTGGGCTTCCCATAAGTATCTAGCTGGTCACTGTGTGAAGCAGGATACTGATCTCAAAGGGCGTTTAGCCAGGGCAGCAGCCAGGCGCTTACATTCTAGTTCTCATTCCAGACACAGGCCTGAAATTCTTTCAGCTATTGTCTTACAGCTCCTCAGAAAAACATGAGCCCAAACCTTAGCCACAAACCACTTACCCAAGACCAAAGATGAAGTATTTTTTATGTCCTACATTGCGGGAGGGGGCTGACTTGATTCCATTTCAGGATTGGCTCTTTGGGGAAGGAAATCAAAGGACTGAATGAAGGATAACTCAATTTCACTTCTTTAACCTTCGCTCTTGAGAAGACCAAAATAAACACCTGATCATTCAATCTCTCCCACCTAAGGTTAGCCTGAGTTTATTATTCAGACTCTTGCCCTTGTGTATTAGGCAAAGCATAAATTATGCATACTAATTACTGTAGATGGGGCACCACTTTAATGAATTCTTTTAATTAAACTGCAACTGGGTGGTCTATATTTCATCCTTAAGCTCTGTTAACCTTCATCTTTGTCTGGAGAGATCACACGTTGAACCTGTTTTAATTCTTCTAAGTAGTACATATGTGCCTGTGTATACCCTAGGAAATGAGATGCGGCAGAGAGGAGAAAAAGTTATGCTTCTGCCAAGACATGGGCAGTACAGAAAATGCTGTGTGTATGTGACAGATAATGGAAAATTAAAAAAATTGAATATCTGTGCTCTTTTGTAGGTCTTATTAATTTGAACAGGAGCAGCTGATACCGAATTGGGGCTATTGCTCAGACCACACACACTCAAGAGCAGCTAGGCTTAAATGTTCTTTTCTCTTTTTGTGGAATATCAGCTAATAATTATATTGAATTATGTATTGATGAAGTGAGAACTACAACAAAATATTGCAGTACAGAAAACTCAGTGCTCAGGGTTCAGCCACTCTACTCCATTTTCCCTCTCTCATTTTTTTTTTGGGGGGGGGGAGATCCCCTGCCTCAAAGCAAGTGCTCAGCTCTCATTGTGCTATCTCTAGGCTTCCCCACCCTTACAGTGTTATTTTACTTTAATTTTGTAAAACACAAGGCTACAAACCATAAAAAACAAACACATAAGAGATATCCCCAGAACTATAACAAAGGTAAGTAAGAATTATATAAGATGTAAAATGAAGATCAGCTTTTAGTCTGCTTATTATTCCAACTTGACTCACAAGTTCTGTAGTGTGCTGCACAAAGTACCCAAGATGGTCACTGATCTTTAGTGTTGAGCTTTACAACCCTTGTTGGTATATTTGGGGCCTCCAAGCCCTCATTTATAGACAGACAGATGATGTACACACATTCATGACCTTATGGTTTTCTAAAAAATAAAAAATCTCTCTGCAAAGCTTGAAGTCTCTTCCAAACTCGCTGGTGCCACCCTCTTTGCCAGACTGGGGGGTGGGGGCAGGGGGGGGCAGCTGTTTGCCATTTCGATGAAGCAAGCAACTGCAATCTAAACCTGCACACTGAAACTCATGGGAATTGTGATTTTATTTGTTTGCTTGCTTTTGCTTTTAGAGTTCACTTTTCCTCCGAGGAGCTCAGGGTGCCATACA